TGGCGTTGAAAAATTTCGTATTTCTCTCCCCATGCCTTGATGCTTCCGTGGACTTCTGAGCCGCAAAATGCTGGAATGTGGAATTCCTTTAGGTTTCGAATTTCGCGACTTTTTCCTGAACGAAGTGCCGCAATAATTTTTTTATGATTACGCTGGTGGATTGGGTTTTAGTATTGCCTAGCTGGAAGACAGATACAGGTAAAGGTAACTTCGCCAACTCGACTCTTTGTATCAGTATTCACAAGTAGGAGGTGGTTTACTCCATAACAGCAAAATACTTCATTTTTCGACTCATCTAACACCCCCAAAAATCCGATCTCACTCAGAAATGACGGCTAAGTGTCAAATTTGTTCAAATGATTGACGTTAAAAGGAGCATTGTCTTTCAACATTGGCTCAATTTCTAAACCATTTTTGAGAATTGAGGGAAACTCCGTCAAAAAATTACACCACCAGTAGATTGTATACTTCAGAGTTATGAGGATGCACAAGCCTTAAGAACTCTTAAATATCCATTTTAGGGGACCTCTGTAAACTACCACTTTTATTACTAAATTTGGTACTTGATTGGGAACTTAAAGGCGGTTATTTTGAAGATTATATGCCCGTCTACTGCCCTTTCTTTCAAAGTCGGTATGGGAAGTACGGGGACACACCGAGAGACCGTGATGACCAACCGCCGTTTTTTTAACATCTTCCTTGTGTATTGCGATTTCCTCACATTGACACGTAAGTACTGCTTCTTTGCCTTTCCTTCTTACTTTACTCGTGCAATTAGGCAAACACCCACTTTGACAAATTTTAATCACCTCAAAGAAGTAATCACTTTGGGAGGTGAGTGTAAGGGCAGAGGAGGAGGTGTTTTCAGACGTTGCTGGTGAGGACCTAGAGGTGCTTTTGATGATCTAATAACTCTATCTGAGTTTTCAATCAACTCTACAGAAGGTGGCAGACTCAGTCATCAACACTGCACGTGAGGCTATGAGTAAATTACTCTGCATTAAGCGAATCCTTACTTTCCGCATTGTTTGCCAACAGCCTTTAATTTAAACCGTTCCAAGCAATTGATGCTCGTTGCTTTGGGCTGACTACAGGCGGATATACAAAGTCAAATTACCAGCTTCAATTAAACCTTAACTGGAGTACATGAGTAGCTCATCCGTGAACCGTCTTAAAGGGAGGGCGCATTTCCGGCTGAGTGATCCGCTCTTAGTCAAACCCAAAGATATTCCCTCCAAAGATGTTACATATAAACCTCAACAGGAACGTATTTAATGTGGCCAGATCTCACAGTATGAGTTTAAATGCAGCAATTGAACAGACATGGCATTTAATGATAGTTTTGACAACTAAATTGTTAAAATGGTCTCTTTTGAAACTCCAACACCTTTTGACCGCATTAATGTGTGCATGATTCCACGTCCGTAGGCGGATCCTTTTCCTCCAAGGGTGGTCTGGGTGAATGTTCGGGGAGTGACTGACAACTGTAATACGTAATTGAGTCCTCTGTTCCTTTAATAGTAGCCCAAAGTGCCTTCCGAATACCTCCATCTTTTACCGCTGTTCCGCCGATCGAGGTACTACATTCCCAGGGTCGACCACTCAGGATTCCATGTGCGGCTGTTGGCCATCCGCAGCCAAGGTAATGCCCCACAAATTTGCCTTCATAATAATCACAATTCCCCTTCTCCCCACACACACAGTATGAGGCTTGCAATGCAGTCGACGAGCCCATAATAGGGCACTTAACTTTGATTCTCTAGTGCTTAAAGGCTTTTCACCCATCAATGGAACTCCTAATAGGTTTATTTTGCATGCGCTTTTATCGGCTCGAACTTATATCTGATACTTCAACCTATTCTCAGACTCATTCTCCTGTGAGTCTAAGGCTAAAAACCAGCAATCAAACCTCCACTTGTCAGATTAAAAGTCACATGAATGCCATCTGTTCGAATTCAGCATCTATTCCCAAAAAATACGGTATCCTGTGGCACTCAGTAAATCTTACCACCAAAGTCATTAGGTAGGCAATCAAACAGTTGACTTGGAAACGGTCTGTTTATTTCAGCCTCCAAGAGGTGTATAACGCACTTGCGGATGGATAAGAACTGCAGTTGAGTCTTAAGTGGTTTTTAATAGACATATCAAAGTTGATGGTAAAATCTTAGGTAGCATTAAAGGATATTTTTCACTCATTCTGCAAGGTCGTACACCCTACCCAAGAGCACGAAATGATTGGGACAGAAACTCGATTCTTCGTTGTTTTTGACGCATACATTAAGCAGGCTTCAAGATAACGTCCAACTTTCAATGTATCATTAACCACATTAAGTAAATCACCGAAATGATAATTTCTTTTTTGAAAGGAAAAGATGAGGCCATGATTATTACAAGCAGTCATCTACAAGGATTCGAGGTCTTATGGGAAATATTAGAACTAAGCGTCAAGTGATATAAGTATGCGACAACTAGTTAATTTGGAGTTCTCAAATTCCTCCCTGGAGCAAAGCTGAACCGCAAAACAGAAGGCAAACATTTTAAATCCACTAAGCAGGATAATTTGCTTCCAAATATTTAATTCAATTCCAGAAAATTTTGAAGCTAATTCTAGGGCGAGTCACTTTTCAAGACGTTTTACTTTTGTTTCACTGCTCCGCGCGGTACATGGCGTGCAGGACGGCCTATGAAGTGCCACATTTTGAACTTCGGTTTGTGCTCGAACGCGGAGGTGTGGGCTATGCATCCATGTGACACTTTCAAAATGATGCAAGTGGAGCTAAAAATTGCGTAGTGGTCTTTGCTTCTCGTGGACCTCAAACGTACTGCCGCTAGAGATACTCCGCTTCTTCATGCCGTGGGAAGAAGAACATTTTTTCTGCAGTTAATCTATGGGGACTAGAGAAACAATACAAAATCGAGTTACTGTTAGGCTTCCAAAATACTGTTCAGTAACTTGGTACAACAGTTTTATTTTCACCTAATCATTTAGGTCGGAGTTGCTTCAGAAATACGAATAAGGCGTGGAAGCTTCCCGTTACAATTTGCTTTTATGACCTCAAATTAGATTGACCTCCAATGAATTTGGTAGTCAAGTCCCATAGTTTTGATGAATCTCAAAAATAGTGGTGATTATGCTTGTGCTGTTTGATGTCGCGCGCGCGATCTGACTCAGGCCCCCCTGGAACCTGTTTCAGCAAACGAGACAGTACATGAGTGATCAGAAGAGGTGCTGTGGAGTAGTCAGTTTTGCAATCAGTTGACCTCGGTGTTGCTAAACGGATAATTATGCGCACTGAAATAAAGTAACTCAAGGGTGAAGAGGAACAATTTCTTATAAAAGAAAGAGAACTAAACTTATCGTGGGAATCATTGGCAATGGTCCTTAAATGCTCTGTGAAGCCAAGGCGATGACTTACGAATTTAGGAGAAAAACACAAAAACCTCCAAATCACAATGGCATTTGTCACAATGTAAAAATAAAATAAACGGAGTGGAAATTTAAATACCAATTGGTGAAAACTTAACGCAAGCCAAACTAGGACACTTTTGCAGGCAGCGCACGAAACGTCTCCGAGCTGTGTTGAGCTCTCAGCTCTCCTCATGCGGAATGAACGGTGTGTATCCCTGTGTAAGTAAGGGAGCCGCAGAAATGGCACAGCGCCTCAGGTGCTTCGGTGCCTTTTGCATTGAAAAATGGGCGTATGGTGCGGTGTGAGTGAAATATCAGTTAATTTTGGACACTATCAGGGTTCTGGCTGGCGCCTTCTGACGTTTGCTATAACAAAACTGCGGTCGCTGTGTATTCTCGTCAAAATATTTTTTGCCCCACAAAGCCCCATTTTTTGGAAAATAGTTGGACATTATGAAACAGTAGAAAACCAAATGGAGATAAATGTTTTCCTAAGATGAGTTTTCTTGAAGCTAGCGATATTATCACCGTACATTCCGTTTGTTTATGCGCGTTTATTTATCCCAAGTGGATGCCACGATCCAACGGATGAGCTGTGGAGAGGAAAGCAAAAATGTCTCTCTTACACTCTCAAGAGAATTTTCTGTAATGAATGGAATTGGGACAGATTACCTTAAAGCACCTTTGGTCACATCAAATAATCTCCTCTTCTCTCTCTCACTCTGCTGCGTGGCGCTCTTCTTTATTCTCTTAAAACTAGTAAACGGAGAAAAGAGCTCACATTTACTTGGCTGTTTGAATTTTACGCCTTCTCTAAGGTGCTTAAAATTAAACCGATAAAATTTATGTGCACATTGAGGCTGTGGTATGAAAACATTTTGAAGGATTCAAATGCTCAGAACTGGTTGTGGATTGTTACACACTCAAACGAATGCCTTTTTCTCAAAGCAAAAGAGCATGCTTCTCTTCTTTAAGGGTCCGTCATTTTTACTAAACTCTTTTTCACTTCTCGACTACCTTCAGTCACGCTTTAACGTCACGTCAGTATATGTTGCCAAACTTTGTCTTAATGAAAAATGAATTATGTCTTTAAAATTGGGTGAATTACAGTGTGAACAAATTCATGTGGTTACAACAATCGAACTCTTAAACAATTTTCGGCATTAACCAAATGGTCTAAAGGAAAAATGGAAGTTCCTCTTCACCTCAGACCGATTAACGGAGGAAGTGAAGCCATAGCTCCACCTTGCGGGCGCCAGATTATGGGAAAGAGGGACTAAGTGACTAAAACAAGTCCTACGAGACATCGAAAACGTCAGATTTTAAAATCCATACACAACAACGAGATCATAACGGTAAAATCATGCAAAGGCGGTTTCCGATAATGTTTCCAAATGGTTTGCATAAGTCAACATACGAAACCACGTGTTCTGTTGCTTATTGCTAAAACAGAGCGAATAACTTTGGGGGAAGAAAATTTTGTGCATGAATGCGGGGTAGTTACTATTGCTAAAGTCCCTTATTCGTCTGTTGTCAAATAAGATTGGAATGGTACCTAAATGGCGAGCGTCTGCTCGTGAGCCCTTCCAGCATGTCCGACACCTTGAGCTGGGGGTCGAGGAAGGGGCACAGAGCCTTCTGGAACGAACAAGTGGCTTTGTGGGATTTAACGGACCTTGCCTCTTCCGGAAGATTGCGTGCTGGTTGGCTTTACTGCGTGGCCATCAATATCGTCGGTCGAGCCATCTCTCCTCCCATCTCGGTCAGATTCGCAAGTAAGGCAAAATGGTACCTAACTTTATGGCAGCACTAATGACGTCTGTGTGGCCTCAAAAACAAACAACGGAAAAGTAATGTGATTTTAAGGTGAAACAATCAGCTCAAAACAGTGTTACAATATGTGACTTTGTTTATGCGTCATGTTATTTTTATACCTCCCTTCAGAAAGAACTGTTGTTTCGTGCAGGCTGTGAACAGTGCCACTTAAATTTGTAGCCTGTTCAAAGGGCAAAATGAATGCTTTATCCGTGCTAGAGGCGTGACCTGCTTATGATCTAAAAATTTTCATAGCGCACCTTCCGTCTTAATAGCTTTCCACCAAACACTTGAGCCACTCAGAGGATGTCGAAGAGTAGGCAAAATGATGGATTAAAGTGTTTACAATGGAAAGTAAAAGGAATACTTCAATGCAATTTATGCAAAACGCATTCATTTCTTGTATTACTATGCGTAAAAAGTTAAGGTAGTGTGAAATAATGGCTCTATATTAAGCCCTATTTGAGATAATTCTTTACATTATTTTAGAAATTGATGAGTCGCGGACGTGTGAGACCCGAACTTTTACAATAAAGGACCAACCGTACTTGCGCCTCAACTGCACGGTCCCGGAGAGCACCCCGCCAGCCACTGTTCGGTGGATGTACCGTCAGCCCAATGGCTTCATGGGTTTCATTCACGAAAATCGTACCTTTGCAATGGATGATGACGGTGCGAAGCTTAAGTGCTGTGTGTAATTGCATTTGCAACTGACATAAGAAACCCAAACTCCTTCGTAATGCGTCAAGTCTGCGCAGTCGAGGCAGTGGCGAATAAATTGGTCTACCACATTCATCCACGTACACAGGTGGAAGTTCAAGGCCCATTTGCATAGAATTTTTAGGAGGGCATTTAAAGAACCCCGATGACCGTAGCATTGCAAGACGGTGAAAACCGTTGCTACGAATTTTACGTTCAGGATTTGGAATTGGTAGGTGAGGGACCAGAGTCGCCTAAAGCTTCAACCGCACAGTGGCACAGCCAAGACAGTGACCAGTTGCAACTTACAGGTGCTTTAAAGCGTCAAGAACCAGTTGTGATAACTTATCATTCTACGAGTTATTTTAAATATTTTAGTGGGCAAGGAAATCACGCAACTAAATTGACACAGCCAGATGAAGATGCTGACAAGTACTGAAGGGGAGATTGTTATTAGTTGTTAAAGGAAGTGTGCGGAAACCTACATTCCATCACAACATCGCTGTGTCAAATCTGGCGCAGATTACTTTCCCTTGTGGACCACGGAAGAGTAGCGGGGGCGAAGACTTTAAATTGTAAATCCTTTACTATGGACCATGGCTGAGTTTGACTGATGCTGACCATGGTGGGCTACACTAAGTTGAATCTGTCGAATGGCAGGACATCAGCTTCTCCTGAAACCCTCACCCTCAAAAGCATGGCTCATCTTAGATAAAAGATTGCGTTTTATTTATAATAGTCGAAATTTGTGACAAGTTAAAGGGAAGCCTACTGGGAAGGGCGCTAAGGACTTGATAATGACAACTCACCTCAAGTAGCCCATGCTTTTGCGGGAGAGCGTAAAAAAGGTAGCCTTTTATACCAATTCTGTCCCACTGTACTTGAGACATAACTTTAATAAGGAAGAGGAGCGAGAGGTCTTACAGGCGAGGCTAATGTGCGAACATGCGATTTCCCAAAGACAAGTAGTACGGATGGGCACTTTTGCTGTTTGCATTGCGATGCGGCTTCAGCCAGCAGGTGAAGGACGTCTGTTTAGGATACATGAACTGATAGCCTTTGAACGAACCGGAATTAAAGTCGCTGATCAACTAAAGGGTTTTATTTAACAATAAAATCAACCATTTCTGCTTCGTTTTGCTAGAAGTTATAATTTAGCCAGACTGCGGAGGATGGAGGAATTCGTACAACCAGTCTGCTTATTTAAATTAAAGACTAATTTAAAAAATTGAATTTATGCAGGCAATCTTCTAATTGCTACTCTTGGACTTCCTGCATCGGCAACTATGTATCTGTTCTGCTCAGCGAGTAACTCAATTCTTCGCACAATGAGGACAGACTGCGACAATGTGCTCCAGATTAAAAGAAGTCTCTCACAGAGTAATCAGCCTCCTGCCGGGCCCTTCCTCATGGCACGGTCACCGCCAAAGCAGACGAGACTGCTAAACGAAACCATAGAACTGCGGTGTCTTATCTCCTTCTTTCCAGGAACCGAGATCCAATGGCTTTGGAAATCCTCCAAATTCGACACAACACTGGAATGGAAAAGTGGGCATTGGAGCACAAAATACAATAGAGCTGTAAGAGACCAGACAAAGTGCGGCACTCCATTTGGATGTTAATTTTTTTAATTTTTTAAAAGTGCTATTAGGCTTTCTGTCATAAGAACTTTTGTTTTGTTTTCTATTAAAGTAAAAGCTGTTTTGTATCCCATTTAAACGAATGAATTTGGTGGTAGAATCCTTGATTCACTAGTCACACCTTCAAATCTCGTTGTAACTCGCCTCAGACTTTGGACAACTTTCTAAACTAAAGTGGATTTGACAGTTCTGATGCTCCTTTGGATGCCCAAAGATATCCAGACTGCTAGACTGTGCTTTGCATGGGCAAATGCCTCGCTTTTTCCAAAATAGCAAATATTCCATTTCAGTTAGCAGAGAAAATTTTTATCTCTGGCATTTAGGTTATCTTGGAGAGGAATTAATCGCTTCAAATATTCGGCATCTAAGCGTCCTATTTTTGTTTAGTTTCCACATGTTCCACGCATCGAAGTGAAGAATGAAGGAACCTTGCTGAGCATAGAGAGGCTGAAATTTGAGCATGCAGGCCTTTACACATGCCGAACTGCAGACAAAGCGGGGTCCCCATCGAAAGCTGTTTTGGCCACTTATGAGTTAGTTGTTGAATGTAAGTGTGTTCGAATGGCTGCATGTGCATGCTATTACATGCTAGTAGGTGTGAATCTCAACCACTTTGAGGCAAAGAGTGTTTGAATAGTTATTTTTTGTTTCAGTCAAGTAGAGTGCGTTCCGCAATGATAAATAACCTCATCTAATGTGGTTTCCCCCCTTCAGCCATTCCTGTATTCGAAGTAATGCCAGTGGACACAACTGTGCCGATCGGAGGCTCAGCTCGGCTACAATGCGAGCCAAATGAAGAGGAGGAAGGCTCGAAAATAAAAGTCAAATGGTACATGAACGGTGAACCCATCGAAAGACACTTGGATGGCAATCGCAAAAGGCTTTCCGGCAACGTAAGTCGCTTAGTCCCTCCGATAAAGCTATAATGGAAGACCTCACTTCAAAAGGAAACACAATCTCCACATAATTAAAATGCACCACTTGCATTTTACGCCAAATAATTCAAACTATTCGATCGCTTAAAGATTATGAGTGAAGGTCATGTTTCCACAAAGGTCGTGTCGTATGAAGCCTCTTGAGTCAACTTTTAATTGAAGGGGTAAGCAGAACAGAATGGTGTTACATCCTACAAATTACAAATTTAATTCTAGAATTCACAGTATGTGAAAATTACTAATTGAAGATCTTTGAGAGGATGTGAAATGTGGCTCCCCTTTTATTAGTCCTCTTGTCATTGGGATCACTCAGAGTAAACTTATTCTGTCAGCCTCACCCAAAAAAAACGATGCAAAGTAGAAGATACTTCAATAAATATACGTTATGGTATTTTTAAGTAACCCTAGCTTTATAGTTGTCCACTTCTGTTCGCTTGCTAGTCGCTCATTCTGGAACACCAAAATCGGAACACTGAACAATGAGACGCAAAATCAGTTTTGCATAAAAATTAATACTTTGGATGGCTAATATCTAGTGGTCGTAAATTATAGGATGGCAATATCCCTAATGAGGTTAAAAATGCAAACCCGACAGCACCTTATGTGCCAAAATATTTGTCCTTAGAAGGTCCGCTGAGTCCTATCGCAGTGAAAATATGCAAGTCTCATTAGGCGGCGAATTGGGAACATTGATGTACGATGTCGCGGGGATCCGGCTCCTCTGTTCATTCCATTTTTATCTTCAAAAATCTACAGCCGTCGCCAGCCATCTTTTCGACCATTCATTAAAAAGCACATTTGTTCACTCCTATGGGATGCGCCCAGCCCTCTTCACTTTCCACAGTATCACCCAGCAATGCACTCGCAAGGGGCAAATTTAGCTCACCTTCAGTGTAGGCAGAAAGCTAACGAAACTTATGCAGCTGCTTAACTCTAAACTCAGTCGAGCCTTTCTTGAGGTTGAAAAGCAAAGATTGTTTGAGAAACATCAAAATGTGATCAGAATTTGAAAAGGCGAAAGAGAATTTCTATGATGGTTAACTTCAAAGAGACGTTTCGAGTTTAACGGTACGGAAACTGGTTACTTGTGAGATCTTTTCTTTGCCCTACGTGAAACTGCATCATATAACTTGTCAGTCAGGCAGAAGCCGTGCAACAGCTTGCTTCGTCTTGATTGTGTGCGTTGTGCCGAATTTCGTTTCCACTGTTTCTTCACTGGAGAAATTGTACTGTGGCAGTAAGTTAAGTGTGGCAAATTTTGGGTCTGCATTTGTGGCAGAAATGTGCGGAGTTTAGAGTCTCAGTCGATTTCATTTACAACACCAACAGCGTGTTTAATACAATTCAAATGAGTCTTATATTTATGCAATTCGTTAAATCTGGCTATTAATGATGTTAACAATCCTATGAGTAGAGGCGAAATTAAAACATTATTTATTTAGATAGGGTAGGACTTTCCCGACTATCAAGTCAGTGAATATCATTTCGAACTCGCACTTTCTTTAGCACTTTATTGTGAGATTTTCTTCCATGGAAAACTAAGACGAAAAATTGAAATAGTTTGCATCAAAAGCACAAACTAGTGAAATGTGGACGATCAAAGTGGCCATATTCACTAATCACGACCAACTGCTCCTATTAGTAGTTTTATCACGAAGCCTGCTTTGTTCCTGTCATTCAACCAGAGCCTCATTTTGAGCGATCTGGGAATGCACGACAGTGCAGTCTTTCAATGCAACATAAGCAACCAACATGGATTTCGATTTGTAAACGCCTACGTCAATGTCTGGAATTCACCACCTGCAATAATTCAAGGTCCGCCGGAGGAACTTATTGTAGCTGAGGGCCAAAAAACCACCATCCCTTGCAAGACAGTGGGGGCTCCGACCCCTCACATCCACTGGACTCGCGATGGTTCTGTCACAGCACCAAACAATCTCGGAGATGACTACAGAAAAGTGCTTATACTTCCCGACGGGAGCCTTGAAATCAAGGTGAGTCACAACACTAAGCGGTTCAATGCCCTCTGTTGAACCATCTTTAAATTTATCTTGCTACGTAGAATTTTAATAAAAAATTAGTGTGCTTAAAATTAGCAGAAATCGCACCCTACCAATGGCAGCCAAGTTCGAGGTATCCGACATTTGTGTTTCAAATGCGCTGATAAATGACATTTTGTATTTGCAAAGGAAAAAGTTCTTGGTGTCGCAATGGGTGATGTCTGAAGAAGAGGAGTTTAATTTGACCCAAGAAGCAGCGCTGCTGTAGAGTAAAACATTTAGGCTGAGCTCACATAGTTTTCAATGACTGCATGTTTTGTCTTCTTTCTTTTCTACTTCTTTATGTGGGAATAGCTTTTGCAAGTACGCCAAAACTTCGAGTATATGAATCATTTATCGTAATTTTGGTGAACTTTTAAGAGCATGAGCTACAGCTTCACTGAACTACGTCTTAACATTGAAATTTTCATAATAATATTGGCGCTTTCATTGCAACGGCCTTAATTTTTCCCGAAATCCACTCTTGTGGAGGAGTATTGAAGGAGGACGTTTTTGCGTCTTTGCTCTCGCTCACGTTTGCTTTGGTTTCGTCATCGAACACATCCGCTCCGTAAGAAATTAGGCGCTTACCTTCATTCACTCTTTGCTTTGGTCAGTACGCATGCGACATGTCGCAGACGAAAGGCCCAACTCTGAGGCACGTTTGAGCGGGTGACAGACAGCAAATTGTATGACTTTTCTACTGACTTAAACGGTCACAAACAAATGCTTTTCGACTACGCAGGGTGATCGCTATACAGCATGAGCAACTTTAATGGTTCGAGTGTTGTTTTATGAATTCATTAAATCATATTTGCACATTTTAGCGCGAGTCTTACTACTGATTGAGACGCCTAGTTGCAATTCGTTTGTCACTGCTACCTAGTAACGGTGAATACAGGAAATGAATACTTCACAATACCGCCCTTCTGCGGTGCTTGACACATCTATCGGCATCTCCTTTTTTGTTAAATTCAAAATTAACCTCTCCAAAAATTGACCATCAAACCTGATCGTCAAACCATGTGCTTTTGATGCAGTACAAAATTTACTCCATAGTATCGTCCGAAAGAAAGGGTGCAAAATGCCCAACCCGAATGTGGTTACTCGGCACATGATAGGGCCCGAAGCTGCTGCCACCTTGCAATAGTGGAACGGCGGTGACTCAGATCGACCACTTTACTAACTTCAGGAGTTAAACAGCCAGTTAGAGTAGTTAATGCTTTTAAACTCAGGATATGTACTGCTACATCCAACAGTGCCCCAGTCACAAGGGAGACATGCTTGTACGGTGTTAGTAAACGCTGAAAGGTGTATTGAGAGAAGGTAGACGACCTACCTTCACTAACGTGGAGCAAAAATATAAAGTAAGCATAAAATTGTTGCAATAAATTTAATTTAGCTTAACCACAAAGTTCTATCACATTTTCTGGCATTGTAGAAGACGCCAACAGATGAGCGAAATCAAAATACCTTTACTAAAAGCATGGCAGGAGGACTAAACAACTACTAAAAAGTTTAGCATAAGTTGAAGCCGAAAAACTAGCGGTGGAAAGAATTCCTGTGGTCACGTGAATAATGTGAAATCATTCACTCTTCAAGCCAATGGTTTGTGTCTTTTCGCCACTTTGGAATTACGAATGCTTCATATTGTTTGCATCTTAGAGAACGGCTCTGACTGATGGTGGGATGTACAAATGTGTTGTTGGCAACCGCTTTGGAAGTTCTTCAGCATCTGGACGTCTTGTGGTGAGACAAGCTACTCGGATCACTTCAGGTCCCCTGTGGGTGGGTAGCTATGCCCTTCAAAAGACCACTGAAAATGGCACCATTGTCACTAGCATCGGAACCGAGGTGTCACTCTTCTGCAGGGCCGAAACCGACGTCATGGAGGTCTCGAAATTACTCATCAAATGGCAGTGGTACGATTGTGCGATTTTTAGAAGTGCCTTATGTTTATATTGTCCGCAGCCACAACAGCCTGCGCCAAAGATAGAACACCACTTTGTGAGAAAATTGGACTATTTGGTAATCGGTTCACCTATTGCCAAACATTAGCGCTGTTTCAATTTCACCTATGATGTAGCACTTTGATAATTTTTTCAACCCAACGCTAAATCTATTGTGCTGTGTTCTTCAGAAATGATTCACCATATGTGTGCTGTAGGTTACCACTTTCAAAGTCATCAGATTTCCAACCAGAAGCCGAGGTTGACTCGTTGGATGGTTACGTCGATCTTCCATCCGACAACATTCGTGAGACCCAGCGGAAGATCAGCAGAAACTCAGTTGAATCTTCTCTGACACTGTTGAAACCGCTACCGTTGCATTCTGGAACTTATCGGTGTCAAACCCTCAACGGTCTTGATAACGACTCACGAACCGTAGACGTCATTATTCAGGGTGAGTAGTGCAAAACACTTTACCGCCTCTGTCCCAGATGTGGGAGAGTTGAATTCTTTTGTTCTGACATTAAGAATTCACATTTATGTACAACTGTTGGACTTTCTACGTGAAATTTCTTTATCAAGACAATCCCTTTTTATCACAGTGGGCATATGAACCCAGTGTTGAAAGTGTTTTAAAAGTCAAAGTGACCGCAAGATATAGCTGCGGGATTCGAGCCTGGACAGCCACTTTAAGTCCACTACATATGTATGTATATACGACACCTGCACCTTTTTAAAGTGGAAGCGATTCTACTCTAACAATGTTTACCAAGGAAAGAACAAAAATATCCTTTTCTCAAGTAGATGTATTCCACAGTGAAGAAGTAATTATTTGTATGCGTGCAACAATGCGGTGATAATAAGTTAGAAAGGCTTTCTCGGTGCATGTATTTCTGCAACAATCCCAAGACTCCTTGACCAACTCGATACAGGCCAGGAGTTAATTAAGACGCTTACACAACCATATCTTTACCGCTTCGTCAAGTTGTTATTTAGGAAAGGTTTACTGTACATTCAATTTGCTGTCAAAGTTAGTTTCCAAGATGATACATTTACTGTTTGGTTGATGTACTTTTTAGACCATGACTATAACCTCCATGGAGGTAGTAATTTGATGCCTTGCATTTACAAGTGACATTTGAAAGTTTTTGCATTGTGTAGCAGAAATACACGTCGTGAATTAAGTTGGATTTTGGGTCTGAAACCATCGAGGGTTTAAAAATCAGGTATTCTGCTTGTCAGCGTCGTCTAAAAGGAGGAGCACATAAGGTCACGACGTTTGAGACCAAATTTGCGATAAGTAAAGAAGACTAAATGCAGATGCCAAAATAAAATTTTAGCAGTCTTAATACATCCAACCTTATGGCCACTAATAAAATCTGAGCATTTCAGAGAGACGTTAATTGAAAAGTGATGCGCAATTCTGGCGTCAGACATCTGAGAAGTTCATCCTGGAAATCACTGTTAAGGAGCTCAAGCAGATTTCCTGGACGGCAGAAAGATTTGAACACAGAAAATGCATTTCCAAGAGTGAAGTTTCTCGAATAGTTAATTTTCTAAAGTTCGTATGGGAGCGATGGTAAGCAGAGAGTGAGTACATTAAATTTAGGCACTCAATACCCGTCTGATGGCAGACTTCTAATCCGCTTAGTGCCCAACTCATTCCCGCCAAGAGGCATTGGAGGTGGCGCATTTATCATATTTGACAGTGGTCTCTTTTCATCATCTATTACATGCCAAAAATGAAGAGCAATGATTTCTGATGGTGCGTCCCTTAAAAACTGCATGATGGCCGTCCTCTACAAAAGTCACCTTTTTGTGGTGGAACTGTTTCAACAACAACTTTGACGGTAGCTCAAAATGCTTCACCATCTTCCTAATTTTTTACTGACAAGGATCAACAAAAGTGTCCTTTTGAATGAAATTGACGGTGGCTCTTAAAATAATCAGTAACTTTTCACTTTTCTCGCTTACACTAACCCATTTTATTACAATAGTCCAAAATGATGCTCTGATAATAACATTGAAATTCACCTTAGGCCCTCCTGACCCTCCACTGGAGATGTCGTTGGATTGTACACAGGTCGCTAAAAGAGGAACTGCTCTTCTATCGTGGACCCCTGGTTTTGACAACAATGCACCCATCACCGATGTTCAAATTGAATTTACCGTCGGTTTTAACCGTCCCAGTGGAAAGATTCAGACGGATTTGTTGGACCTCTCCTCTCCCCTCCATACAAAGATAATTCTAAAGACTCTAAATAGCTCCGTACAGAGTGAGACGTGGCTCCGGTTAGAGCATAGTCTTTTGTCCGGACCCCTTCTTACTCCCGCCTGGCAGGCCAATGACGACCTGGCCATGGTCAATTTGACCCGCAACGTCGCCCTCGTCCCCATCCATCCCGATGTTGCCTACCAATTCCGTCTACGTCTGGTTAACCGCATAGGTGTCTCTGAACCGGGACCTCCGGCACCGAGCCTAAACGAGGAGGAGCAGAAACGTTGCCTTCTCAAACCACAGGCGCCAACAGCGAGGCCCAAAGAACTGGAGATCTATGGAAATGTGCCAAACACACTAACTGTAGCGTGGAGGGTAAATTTCTTCATTTGAATAAGGTGACCCTTTTATGGTGGAGAGAACCTTCAGTTGCTTCATTTGAAATTATTAGAGCTTAGTACTAAGTGGAAGCTTAATTAAAAGAGTGACGAAAGTGTGGAGCAAGTCACGAAAATATCTGCATTCAACAATTTCCATAGCATTACAAAATCCGTTGAACAGAATAATTGTCCTTTAAAGACGTCTCGTGTAAAATGTATTCAAAAGGTGAGAGAAGAATTGTCTCACGGTTTGCACCCTCAATGTTCAGTTCGAGTAATGTGCCAAAGTTACCGACTGTGGGAGAGCAGATTTGCAAACTCGAGAGCCACTTTCATGCGTAGCATGGCTGACGTGGCAGGAGAAATCTTATTGAGGAAGAAGCTTTATGCACTGGGGGATAAGTCCCCACTGGTTGACTGAGTGCACGTTTTTCACATAGTCATGGAAGACGTCATGAAATGAAATTGGAACAGATTTTGAGCAAAATAGTTTATTATATTTTTATGGGAAATGCATTTTTGGCTGCCTTCGGTGTGCACGAGAGTTCCAAGCCAAAACTTCAAAACAGTGGGAGGATAAGGAGTTAAGATACACAAATTAAGGGATAAAATGATTTCCCATTGGATTCGTCTGCATTTGTTCAAATTTACAGAGTTGTGGTAAGGCACAGACTTTTGATTTTTTGGGCTTTTGGCAGGCAACTTTTTTTTTTAAAAAAAGAGATCGCGCAAACAGGAAACCACTCCCACAGCAAATATTTACTTGGAAATGCCTTTGTGATAAAATTTTGACAACGGAAGGACCAATAATTAGTAGTAATGATGTCAGTAGACTTCACTGAGTGCTTGAGATCCACTTTAAATTGATTTCCAGCTCCCAGCAAATGCTGCTCCACGCATCCCAAACCTACGCGTCACTCTTGCCGACTTGATAAGGCTCTACCTTCCTTCAAGCCTTTTCAAAGCCATGAAGAGAACTGGCAAACATTTTCATTTGCATAACAGTAATAGGATTTAAAATTCGTTTGTTTTAACAAAGCACTTTTCTTTCGGCTATTTTAAGTGTCATACGTGCCACACATACCGCATTCTACACATACTTAGACTTCATAAATAACATTTCGTAAAGAAACCAAAATCTTCTACTACGCACGTAGATGACATTTCAACATTTATGGTTGTGGATGGAACGGAAAATGCTTCAAGTCGTAACCGTTTTAATGTGCTGTCAGGATGGCGTTAAGCAGTGAGACGGATATGTAGAAACGCGTTTTCTGTGGCCCGACTCGGGACTCGGGGTTTTAGGAACATCTTGGAGAGCACAAATGACTAGATACGGCAGGACACTTAAAATTAATTAAGTTTTCTCGAAAAACTTGGTGCTTAGAATGCATTCAAACAATAGCTTGTCTACCATGTCCAAGTCACCATCTTGTAACAATATGCTTACCAACCCTCGAGCCCCATTTCAAATTCAAACACATTTTTAGCCTGTGCTAGCGGATTACTAGTTTAAAATTCGAATAGTTGAAATGTTTTTTAAATGTTAACTCATTTTAAATACTAATCAGTTCGCCTTATCCACTGCCAGTGTTACTACACTTCATACCATCGAGCTGAAAAAGGCATCGAGGGGCCCCCTGAAGGTTCGGTTGTTCAAGTACAACGCTATGACTCTAACAGTCACGGACTTCTTTCGCTCATTTCTAAACGATATTTGTGGACTACAACATTGCTGAGGTTATGTGCTTCTGATTGTTCATTTCCTTATATCTACTCACAGAAGTAGACCGATGGCATCAGCTTTTTCTATCTGGGGAAGAATCCGAGTATGCGTTTGAGTTGTAATTCACGGTCTAGTAGCTTTTATCAGAGGGCTTTAGCCCGCTCCAAGCGGTACTAATACGCTGCATTAATTTTTTTCGATTCTGTGACTGCTTCTTTAGCCAATTCCGCCAATTCATCACAATGGTCCAGGTTTACGTTACCACCTGGCCCTAAGATGTCTCGATTGTGAACAAAATATAGTGGAGGGTGGAGCGCTAAATGGTACGACAATTTTCGACTGGAATCAGAGCCAAATCGTGTTTTCAAACCTTCCAGTCCACAATGTGCTCAACCAAGAATGGTCCATCGAAATTTTCAAGCAATACGAGGTATGTGTAGTAGAAGACTTTAAGCCAATTTATTACTTTGAACGACCATCGTAAAAAGCATTTCATTTTATACCACTGGCTTAAGTGTGGCCAAAGTCCTGTGCTGCTGCCACTTTCGAACCGGGCGCAGTTTGGTCGACTGCACAATTGTTGGGTTCTGACGTCCTTCTCGATGAGGAAGGGAAATTGCACAAGTTCAGCTGGCCCTTAATAGTAATAACAGATTCAGAAACTAAAAAGGAAAACCATTACTCCCCTGTACCTCCTTATATGTTTTAGTGAGTTGATTTCAAAGTTCACTTTTGAGGAGATCCATGACTTATGCCAGTCACATTTCTGCTCCTAAGAAGCTAGGTTTTTGGCTAAATGGATTTATGAGGTCTTATGTTCTCCCATGCTGTAGCGCTCCAAAAACAGTAAATTAATAATTAAGAAGGCAGACATGCTGTCCGTAAGGCAACGAACTACGAAGTTAAGGACAGGGGCAAAAGAAACATTTCAAGCGTGCGCCTGGCTGCTTTAGAACAAAGCCTGTGTCCTGCAATTTCCTCCTATCACAAATGGCACTGCCTCTGCATATGTTGACAATTCCCCTATTGACATCCGGACAATGTGTTTTATCATTGATAAGTATTCAGTTGACTGTGTATCCTATGGGTCCATGTTTTGGAGACGAACTATCCCCTTCCCGTAATTCAGGCGAATTGGACTGGAACTGGATCATCTAATTTATGTTACTTCAAAATCTTCTGTGACATTTTTCCGACCAGTTTGCTATATGCTTGGTGTCATTACTTGATTTATGATAAATCAAACCCTCTCAGGCTTCACTAAACAAAATTTACGATATTACTCAGCAGAAAGTGAATATGTACAGCCTTATGTATTTGTTTTAAACACATCATTTATTTTTCTCAGTCTTACTTTTAAATATAAAAATGCATCCTAGGCGGTAGTCCTCATCATCACCGACTACAATATATTGGTGCTGCCTTAGGTGAGTCTGACCGTGTCAAACGTACTGGGTTTAAGCAAAGCCGGACCTCTGGTTGCCAAAGGGTGGTCGGCGGAGGCACCTCCGACTATAGCGCCATATCGACTCCGCGTCACCCGTGTGGAGGCCGCTATGGCAGAACTGACTTGGGACTGGCCCCCCGAAACCTCCGGATCCGTAAATGGCTTCTTTATCGGTCTTCGAATTGAATGGTGTCTTGTCGAGAAAGACCAGATTTGTGACCGGTATAAAGTTATTCAGGTGAGCAATCGTTTGTATGCGCTTGACAACACCAATCCACGTTAGGATTAGTGGAATTGTGCGCTATCCACTAAGTCGTATATTGAAAGTCGTGTTCTGTCTCCTTGGGTGTGAGGAAGGGTTTAGTGTGACAAAAGTGAAGAGAGCACTTACCAATTCAAAGTTTGTTGCATTTAAGTAAGGCAAACTGTTTCCTAAACTGCTAGTCTCTAAAAGCAATGCTCGAATTAGCAGGTCCTGCCAATTCTTTCTGACGGTATTTTTCCCATGTTCAAGAAAAATGCCTTGCATGTGGCGGCATTATACTGAAAATTTCATTTAAAAGTTTTGCGCATTACTTTGCATCTTATCTGCCATTCTATTAGCATTTATTTCTCATTATCCATTAAAGTATTCGATGTTTTTTTGTGCACCGCAAAGTGGGGTACTTTTAGCCATTGCAAGAGTGCAAATGGCTCAAACGCTTTAAAACAGCATTTTGGCAGGGCCCAGTGAATTGGAAGCGGTTACGTCAGTTTCACGATAGCAAAGCAGCTTATCACGAATTCAAGTAATCTTAAATCTCTGAGTGGGATGATGTCCTTTCAACTTCCACTTCGGTAAGCATTGAGTACAAGGGGAATACTCAACTGAACAACTAACGCTTCAATTGCAAGGCAAAAGCGGCCTTCAACAATAAGTGTTGGAGACGTCATTGATTGCTGGGTCGCTCATTACTGAGTCAATCTACTTGTAAGGCTCATGGAAGTCCTTTCAAAACTTTTCTTAAACATATTTACCTAAGATAACAGTCAGATTTAATTAAACAACCTTTAAGAAACGCAAAAAGTGTCTTCCCATCCCTTTGAATGGAAAGTTTCCAGTGCGGTGCACAACTCCTTCCCACGCATTTTTGTAAATCTCTCACTTTTGTTCTGGGTATTTGGCATTCATTCCATGCACTTTCCGTTTCATCAATGGTAAGGCTAAAGACAGGAATGTTTGACACACTCTGCAGGATGTTAGACTTGCTGAGCCTCCAAAAGAGCTCTACCCTAATCTGCGAGTCGACCCAACTGACTTGGAACCCAGGAGGCGTGAAACCGAGGATTGGCCTGGTAATCACACTGTCCAGCGAAATTTAGAACCAACGGTGGTAGCCTACAATCAACACAGACGCGCTGTGCTCCGAAATTTACCTGGATTAAGTCACCTTCGCGTATGGATTCGTCTTTTAAACATCCAGTATGAAGGTCCTGGCAGGTATTTCTTTACAATCGTTAAAGAAATTTGATTAGACTCTGTATATAAGTGTGCAGTGAGTTTATTCTGGACCTTACCCAAATCTCATTCCATTTGGAACGGTGGAGTCAACTATTTTTGGTTAACTATTCGTACGCTGACTAGCAGATAACAATTTGCTTCCCACTTTTAACAGGAATAGGTTAATAGGCCCATTTCTATGTAGCTTA